TCTTGTAGGAGGGTTGGACTAGATGATCTTTTGAGGTCCCTTCCAACCCTTAGGATTCTGTGATTCTGTGTCTGAATGAACAGGGAGTGAGAGATCTGCTTTCCAAGTCAAACTCTTCACAAAGCAGATAGTCTGAGACCCATAGAAAATATTTACCCCAGCAACACAGATCTCCTTTGCCTGCACGGTGGCACATCCATTGACTGGTTGTCTTCTATCCCTTCAGAAGAAGCAGGATTCCCCGTGGGTTTTTCACCCCGTGAAACAAGCACTGTCTCACATTCCATCCCTTTTCAGAGCAATGGTACCCCAATTTTGCCCAAAAGCGTTGAAAATTGCAGTCCTGTGACCAGGCTCAGCACTACACAAATGGAACAAAGCACCTGAGTGTCTGCCACCTCTAGAAAAACACACGAGTAGTTTTCTCTGAACTGGGCCGCACTACAACAAGCTCAGCTCGCACACCACGGAGATAACAGGCTCCAGCTGAAGCCAAGAGCTTCCCAGCTCATGCAGCAGCACTTCACTTACCTGCACAAGGAGGATTTAAATTCCTGAGTGGCCTAATCCCACTCCTGTCCTAAAACCACCCCAACCTTGTCATTAACATCACAGGAAACGTGAAAACACTGTGCACAAGCAGAGTGATTTGCCTGAAGTGACAGAGCAACCCAGGCTGACCCATTCCCTCACTAACAAACGGGAAGTAGAGCAGAACTCAGCTGAACAACACCAGAGCAATGAGGGCATTCAGTTACCCACAAACATAAGACAACCCAGACCCGTCATAAACGCTGAACTACAGTTGGCCTGTGCAACAACCCAGGTGGGCCTGCAGTGAAGTAGCGCATTTGACTGCACCAGTGGGTGCCTTTCCCCAGCAGTTATTCACTTCCACACACAGATTTTTGGGCTCTTCTCAGACAAAGCACTTGCATGCTCAGTTGCCTTCTTTTGGGGTTTGGAGGTGGAGAACTGAATGACAATTCAAATGCTGATCCCAAAAGCAACTGCAGAATAGATGTAAAACCTGTGCAGCCATAAGGGCACCAAGCAAGTTGTCCTGGGTTCAGCATTAGCAGTCATTTTTCTCCTTCTTTGTAGCTGGGAACTGATCTGATAACAATGATGTTTTGGTTTGGCCAAGGACTTTGTGAGCCTCATGCTCTGCCAGGGAGGAGGGGAAGCCGGGAGGAAGCAGAGGCAGGACACCTGACCCAAACTGACCAAAGAGGTATTCCATACCACAGCACGTCATGCCCAGGATGTAACTGATGGTTACCCGGAGGGGCTAAGACTGCAGGGTTGGAGGAGGCATCGGTCGGTGCTTGGTTGGGCTGGGGGGGCGAGATGGCAGTCGGCTGGCAGTGAGGTGCTGTATTCTCTTCCCTTGTTCTTTCCTTTATCATTGTTATTATTGGTGGTGGCAGTGGTGGTTTGTGTTCTACCTTAGTTGCTAGACCATTCTTGTCTCAACCCGTGGGAGCTGCATTCTTTTCGATTCTCGTCTCCGTCCCTCCGGGAGTAGGGGGAGGGTGGGAAGGGAGGGAGGGAGTGAACGAGTTGCCTGACTGGGTTTAAACCACGACACAAGTATAGAAGAAGATCCAGGTATCCACGGCAAAACGGTTGCTAACGGCGGCCCGGCCGCAGACACGGTCTGTCCTCAGAGAACCTGTCCCACTGCTACTGCCTCGGGTGAGCACCAGGGGAGGACCAGATTGGATACTCCTTCCGCTAAAGGCGGCGCTGACCATTGTGTCCCCGCAGAGCCCCGCCACAGACCTGCCGGTACCCGCTGCCACTGGACCGGTGCCCTGGGATGATTTTCCTGCCGGTACTCTGGGACTATCAGGTGCCCAGGGGCTTGCCATGGGCCCGCCACCCAGACCCGCTCTGCAGCAAAACAGGAACCTATTCTCTCCTTCCCACTCTGCCTTGCCCAGTCGGCTCAGGGGAAAGGTTTCCTCCAGGTTGTATCAGGAGGGAAGAGTTTGCTTTGGCTGTGGGGACCTCAGAACAACTGGGTTCTGAGAGGTCCTGAGAGGAGAGGGAAGGAGGTAGCAAAGAATAGTGCCGGACTTGTGGTGAGCATCCAGCTTCTGCAGCAAAACAGTGCCTGGGATGCTGTGGGAAGCAGCTGTAAGAGCTGAAGGAGGGACAGGACGGGCTGCCTCGTATGTGAGCAGTGCTCTTGGCTGGAGCAGGGCAGCCAAAGCACCGCTGCACAGGGGGCACCCCGTGTCCAGCCTCGGGATTCTCCTCACCAAACACTCCCCAGTTTGCAACCATGGCCAGGTGGGTACGTGGAGCCAGGACGCAACCGCTGCCCAGCGGCTGCTGCGTGGCCTTCCATGCTGCTTGCGAAGGACACCATGGCCTTGGAATTGTGGTTGGAGCTTTAATCAAAAAGTCACATTTTCTTAAGCAGGGCTTAACTGCTGCCTGGCTTTTCAGAGTCAGGAGCACAACGCCTACAGGGTCCGCCTCCGTCTTTTCTGCATCCATATACAGGTCAGGATGTATATTGTCTGTTGTACCAGGGATGAGACCTGACATTCCTCTTCTCCTGTCAAAGGATGGAGTGCTGCAACAGACGGAAAAAGAGCAGAGCTGAAACCCACTGATCTGCAGAGACCCACAGGCATCTCTTTCAGACCATGCCAGCCCCAACCATCCCTTTCCCTGGTCAGGAGGCGCAGGCAGACAAATGGATCACCTGGAAGCTGCTGCTCAGGATTACAGCAAATGCCCCCAAGATGTTCCCTGGAGCAGGACAGCAGGACAGCACGCTGCCCAGGCTCTGTCCCCTGTCCCCGCCAGCCCCATCACACACAGCACTGCCCCTACTCACCCTTGAAGATCTCCTGCAGCGTGTCCTTGCTGCTGTCATTCAGGTACCGCGCAGCCAGTCCTGTGCAGAGAGCTCGGTCAGACCTGCTGCCGCCCAGCACACTCCTAGTATCGTGGCCCCGGCTCTGAAGGTTGGGCTGAACCCCTTCCCTCCCCTCAGCGGGGTGACCCCAGGGAAGGACAGGACCCGAGGGGAGGTGCCACTGAGCAAGGTGCCACTGAGCCCTGCTGCCAGGGCAGGGGTAGGAGGGGGAAGCACAGAGCCCCTGGCTGCACAGGCCCTGTACAGGGCAGCTGGGGCTCTGGCAGCCACAGGGCTGCTCCTCGCTGCCAGTGCAGCAGATGGGACTGGGGCCAGGCTGCCATAAGGGGGACTCCAGGGACTGCGGCTCACCGATGAACCTCACGGCTGCCATTCGCACGGTGACCTGAGCGTGCTGCAGATAAGGCATGCTTTGACGCACATATTCTTCAGCCCTGCTCCGGTCGTGCTCCAGCTGGAGAGAGCAAAAGGGCGCAGGGATGATACACACCCTCCCCAGTTACCTGGGACAGTCCCCCTTCCCAGCACCCCACACACCCCCCTTCATCCTCAGGACATTTGCATCTTCCAGCAAGGAGCCCTGTGGGGCTGAGGTTCAGAGACAGCTACATGCAAAGCAGGGTCTGGAGGTCCCGAGAGCCCTCTGTGCCGCTGCAAGGGCCCAGATGGGTCTCCTGCAACATCCTGAGGGTGGAGAGGTGAGCCCTTGGGAGCTCTGCCTGAGGGCAGGGAAGGAGGATGCAGCACCAGGCTGCAGGCTCTGGGCTGAAGCACTGCAGGCGAGGCACCACTGCACAGGGGGCACCCCATGTACAGCCTGGGACTTATCCTCACCAAGCGCTCCACAGTTCTCCATCTCTCCAGTGCCTGCACGTGGTGACTGAGCCATTTCCATTTGAGCACCTTTGCAGCTACACAGAAGGCTTCGTGAGAGGCCTGCAGAGGAGGACAACGATTGGGGAGATTGTGGACAGGGCTTGCGGCCCAAAGCCCTGGCCCCCAGCACCTGCAGGGACAGCTGGGTAGTCCCTGGGGACTCTGCTCTTCAGGCCTTGGTGGCCATGGGCTGCTGCTGAGCCCTGCTGGACCACATAGGGCAGGCGTGGCAAATGTCCCTGCCAGCTTCTCCTGCCCTCCCTGCTGCCCAGGCCACCCCCGCGGGCTCAGCATGCCCTTCCCCACACCACTGCTCAGGTTTGCAATCTGTACCTTGGCCACACTCTCAGTCTCATCACTCATGTGCAACACGAGTGGGACCAGGCTCCCCTGCACGTTCTTCCGCATCTGCCGCTGGTGCTTCCAATCCGCCATCTGTATTACTTCTTTGAATAGGCAGATGGAGAGCTCTCGCACCTGGCTGGACACCTGGTGAGGAGGAGGAGGACAGAAGGGCGTCAGTAGCAGCAGCTCCCTGAGCAAGGGCGTCAGCGTGGCTGAGGGGAGGGGTTTCAGGTCTCCCAGAGCCATCAGCAAGTCAGGGAGAAGCTGAGCTGGGCTGCAGAGCCCAGAAGGCATCCCCGTGAGAGCGCAGGGGCATGAGGAGGGGCACAGCCCCATGGAAGTGCTGCCACCAGGCTCTGCTAACAGGCACTTGTCCTTGCAAAGGGCCCATCAGTGAGGATCAGGCTTCCATAGCAGCCTTACATCATCAAACAGTTGCGGGAGATTCTCGGCCAGCTGCAGAGCAGTGGAGCTGTCCTTCTTCAAATGACCCATCACATTTCTGAAAATGAGCAGCATCTTCTTTCTGTTCTTACTGTGGGCTGTCTGCAGCATGTATATCAAATCTGGCAGCAGGACCAGTATTTTCTTTGCCTGTACAAAGCACAGAATTCCTTGTATGTCAAGTGGCGAAGGACCACCCAGGCCAAAATGTTCTGGCATTTAAGCACCAGACTCCTGCCTGACTGACTGGGCAGTGGCACAGGAATCCCTGCAGCAGCCTCCTGGCAGGCCATCCCCATGGTGCACTGAGGGGATCGGGGCCTGTGACTGGACGTTGAGGGCATTTGGTGCCGTGACCCCAGCTCCCGATTCCCAGCCCTGGTCAAGCCGCCGCGTTACCCACTGCCCAGCCCCAGGAGGCCAACACGGCTTCCCTTGCCTATGCCCTGCTCACCGTGTCAGGTGACTGTGACAACGTGATGAGGCCTGTGAGCGTCAGCGAGAACAGCACCACATTTTGACACCACGGGAACTTCTCCCTGTTGTACACCCCAGCGAATTCCTCTGGTGTCACATCGCTGCAGGCCAGGAGCTGAAACAAAGATGGCAGTGAGGGACCGGCCGAGCCTGCAGGGCTCCCGGCACTGTGCAGCTCCTGGGTCCCGCTGGCAGCTCAAGACAAGGGCACCGGGGACAGAGAGCCCGTGCTGGGGGACACCAGCCGCACACCACACGCTTGTCTGTGCCGGCTCTGCTGGTGTAAGCAGAGCACTGACAGGAACTTTGTGCACCCGCACCCAAGCAGCGTGGCATGGCCCTGTGTGGCTGGCACAGGGGAACCTGGCGCTGGGCTGGCCCTAACGGGCTGCATCCCTATTTCCCAGAGGAGGTGACTGTTTGGGGGCAGATGGCAGGGAAGAGGGCTGTGCCTGTGTTTCTGGAGAGGCAGGCACAGCCCTGAGTATGAGCAAGGACTGGTCTGGTTACTCACAGCCAAGAGCCGGATACAGAACTTCACTCTGCAGAATCCGTGTCTGATACGTAACTGCAGGTGCTGGAGGTTCCTTCTCAGCTCCCTCAAGACCTTCACCAAGATGAGGGGCTGGGACAGCAGCGCTTCCCACATGGCCTGAGCAACTTTGCTGAAAGAGAACACTGTCAGCAGGGCTGCCTTGGCCACCACACGGTGCCTGGGCCAGCCCTGCCGCAGCCAGGCTGTGCTGCAGCCCTGGCCCTTCCTGACCCCTCACTGGGAGTGCCCAGGTCCCAGATGGGGCAGGCAGGAGGGGGCTGAAACTGTTCCCTGTGGGGCAGGGAGGAAACTCGTGGCAGGCCTCGGGTCTGGCTTGGACAGCTTTGGCTACTGCAGGCCTGGCCAACCCAGCAGGGCAGGAGAGAGTGATGGGGTACAGGGCCCAGCTCCTCAGGGGTGTCCTGCAGTTTTCTGTGGGCCTCCACGTCCCTCTCCCCACATGGAACAAACCCACAAGGGCTGTGGGGGTCAGTACCTGTTACATGCTGGAGAGATATCTATAAGGCTCAAGATCATCTCCCTGGGCTTCTGCTCTGCCATGCTTAGAAACAGCGACTTCAGGCTGCACCGGGCTGATGCTGCGCTGATGTGCTGCAAGTTGTTATAGATGCAGCGCGTGATGATCCGCACCTGGAGAGCACACGGGTGAGGGTGGTGCTGCCACCAGACTGCAGCCATTTCCTCAGCTGCTGCTGAAACAGCTGCCCTTCCCATCCTACTCTACTGGCATGAAATGGCTTCAAGGTGCCTGAAGCACCTGGGTGAGGGGAGATGGGATGTAGGGAGGAACAGTGCCTGGAAGGACTGGAGGACAGGGCAGCCACAGGCTGCTTACCTCTGTCAGCCAGGAGGCAGGTTCTGTCATGGCCACGTTCAGGACGCTGATCAACTCTTCCTTGTCACATACGCATGAGTCTCTCGTGGCCTGTATGGCCCTGAGGATGATGACTGTCTTATCAGCAGGGTGGAGGTATTCCTCAAATGCCTGCAGGAAGGAGGAAGGCGGGGAAGACGTGTTACACTGAGTGCCCTGATAGTGCTGCTCAGCTGGGCAGTGAGAGCAGCTCTGGCGAGAGGACCCACGGGAAAGCTGGCAGCAGGGGCTGCAGTCGTTGCGGAGTAGAGGATAAGAAGAGAGGTCCCTAGGTGAGAGAGGAGGGACCCTGGAGTGCAGCCCTCTGAAGTCCCTGCTCCAGAACAGCAGCAACCCTCTGACCAGGGACAGTGAGGTCATGCCAAGCCCGCTGGTTCTGGATCCCTTTGCTTGCACCAGTCTCGTTCTGATGCCCCAGACAAGAGGCCCAGCAAGGAAGAAGCTCATTACCTTTGCCATGCTAATCGTGCTGCACAGAGAAAGACAGGAGGGTTTCCCTGCTTCCCTCTTCCCTCCAGCCTGGGGATGCTCTGGATGATCATGACAATTGTCTGGTTGAGGTGACGTCATGCCTAAACATGAGGGGATCACGGAAGAGTCATTAGGACACAGCACTGATTACCATCAGTGACAGCTTTGGCTATGGGGACCATGGAACTGCTGGGTTCTGAGAGGCCCTGAGAAGAGTGGGAAGGAGAGCAGCAAAGAGCAGTGCCGGACTTGTGGTGAGCACTCGGCTTCTGCAGCAAAACAATAGCTGGGATGCTGCGGGAAGCAGCTGTGACGGGCAAAGGAGGTGAGGGAAGAGGGCAGGCTGCCCTGGACAGCCTCCAGCAAGCACAAAAAGAATCCACTACAATACTTGGGGAAACAAGCAGGACTATGAGGAGACGTCTGTGTGTGGAGGGATGAAGCCCACAGAGCTTCTCTTACATTTTTGGTGCTGGATGAATATGGAGAGGTGATGAAGAGCAACCAAAGCCTCCTGCTGGATCGCCCAGATCTTGCTAGTCCAGCAAACAATGAGACGTCCCAGCAGCTGTCCCAGCAAGCAGTCCTTGCTGATGTCATGGTGGGAAGAGCTGTGGTCGTGTCCAAGCAAGCTCCAGACCTGGGCAAGGGAGGCAGGACAGGTAGAAGGGCTGAGGGGCAGCAGCGCAACAAAAGCTCCGAACCTGAGACTGCCCCAGGGAAGGATCCTGGAGGGTCGGAGTTGTGCAGGGCCCTCCCAGAGCAGCGAGCTGGGCAGCCGGGCAGGGAGAGCTGCCAGGCCTGGCCTCCCGCCATGCTCCTTGGGCAGTGCTGACCTGCACAGGACTGGGGGCCAAGATGGCTGCTGGCAGAAAGGGCACTGGGGAGGAAAAAACATGGGAAAAAGAGAAGCCGAGACCCTTGCCCAGGGCAGAGCCGTGCTGAATGCCTCAGGCATTTGAGCCGCAGGCTGCTGCCCACGGTGGGCAGGGAATGGGAGACAGCCTGGCTGGAGGGTGCCTGCCTCCCTACCTGCACTGAGGAAGAGCTGGCCATCAAATCGGCCAGCTTTGCGATCCTTGCCACGGCCCGTTCACACACAGCTGGGTGCTTGATGTTGATGAAGGGCAGCAGCATCTGGAAGGAGAGAAAGTGCTGCTGTGCCCTGGGAGCTGGTGCCCGTGCCAGCAGCAGCAGCAGCAGCACTGCTCAAGTCCTGGCTGGACTCATGAAGTCCTTGTGGCCCTGAAGGGAGGCAGATGCCACCCCAGGGTAGAGTCTGCTTCTTTCTGTGCCCTCCCCGTGAGCACAGGCCTGTGTTCCCTCTCCGTGAAGGCTGGGCTTTTGGGCAGCACCCTCCCGGGGGGCGGTGATCCTGCAATGGGGGAATGGGCGTACGGCTCCCTGAGAAGTCAGGAGCGCCGAACTTCAGAGCTGGGCTCCCTGTGCAGGACAGGCAGGTCCCAGTGGGTCTCTGCCCCGGTCAGACCTGGGCAGAAAAGCAGGAGGGACTGCGAGGCATGGGAAGAAGGGCAGCACCCGCAGCCACTGCTGCGGTGCCTGAGGAGAGGGGTCAGCGCCTGCAGAACACAAGCAGGATGGGACCTGGCGGCTGCCAGCACCCAGTGCCAGCAGACCCAGGCCCAGGCGGCAGGGCTGGCAGACACCCTCTGTCCCCAAGCCCAGCTCTGGCCCCCAGCGTGGCCCCGCTGCCAGGGCTGCTCAGCCCTGCAGCTCAGTGTCTGCCTGCGCACGCTGGTCCCTGCCCTCCCCCTGCACGGGCCCTGTGTGTCCTCACAGTGTGCCGGTGCCTGGCAACTTGCCCCCTTCCTCAGGCCGGCCGTGTGTCCCCTCACCTTGATGTTCTCCACCACCTGACACTGCACACAGAACTCCTTTAGTTCCTCTAAGCAGCCCTGGTCCCTGGGAGCTGTGCAGAGGCTGAAGAAGGCCTGCAGGAATTTCACCTTCTGAGCTTCCTCCTGGGCAGCCGGGGGGCAGAGACACAAACAGGCAGCGTGAGAAGGGGGGCACGTGGCCAGCGGGACTGGAGCAGTGGGGCTGCAGTGCTGTGCAGGAGACCCGGGGGAGCAGCTCTGCCCAGCCAGCAGCCCCCAGCAGCCTGGCAGCAGAGCCAGTGGCCCCATCAGGAGACACGGGCACTGCTAGCCTGGAAACGGCTGCGGTTACCTTCTCTGAGCTCTGCAGGAAAGTCTGGATAAACCGCATGTGTGCAGCGCGTTCCTCTTCCATCCTTGCCGGACAAAAGGATAGGGGTGAGGAACGAGCAGGGTTGAAAGAAGTGTCTCGGCACTGCGGGGCTGCTGGGGCAGTGGGGAACAACGTGGGCTGCGCTCAGGGGTCTGCGCCAGTCTCTCGCTCCCGCTCTGTCCCGTCACCGTCCTGCCGGACACTGGCACGAAGGATGTGGCCTGCTGACTTTTATACAGTGCCCTGGGGTGTGACCAAGGGCACATCACAAAGGCACGTCACAAAGGGCACCGTGGTGGGTCACGGAGGGCACATCACTAAGGGCACTACAGTGGGTCACGGAGGGCGCGTCACTAAGGGCCTGTCACAAAGGGCACCACGGCAACCTGCCATTCAGAACATGAGAGGCAGGGCGATGCTGGGAGGGGAAAGAGGCCTGTTTCCCCCTGGTCATTTGCGTCCCCTTGGGGTGCCCTGAGCTCCACGTTTTGCTCATGTTAGATGGAGTCTTCTTATGGCAAGATACCCAGCACGTGTCCTAATGTTCAGAGCCAGACTAGTCAAGAGGACTCAAAAAGCCATGAGTAGAACCGTACGCGCACTGGAGACGGCATTAGATGACCGATGTTTTCTTGTCCAAGTCCTGCGTTTAAGAAGTTTAGGGGGTCAGGGATGGCGGGACGCAGAGAGGAACAGCACCTGGGCAGGCTCAAGGGCAGGGCAGCCACAGGTCGCTGAACTGGCGGGGCAATGTTCTAGTATGAATGAAGACCAGAAGGCCTCCCACCTTCCAAAGGTGCCACTAGCATGCTCAGCTCGCCCCTGAAATGCCTGTACGCCAATGCACGCAGCATGGGGAATAAACAGGAGGAGTTAGAAGTCTGTGTGCGGTCTAAAGGTTATGACCTGGTGGCAATTACAGAGACATGGTGGGACAGCTCGCATGACTGGAATGTGGTTATGGATGGCTATGTCCTTTTTAGGAAAGATAGATCAGCAAAGCGAGATGGTGGAGTTGCTCTTTATGTGAAAGAGTTCTGTCCAGGGGCAGATGAGGACCAGGTGGAAAGTCTGTGGGTGCGAATTAAGGGACAGGCTGGTACGGGGGGCACAGTTGTGGGGGTCTATTACAGACCTCCTGATCAGGACGAAGGAGTTGACGAGGCTTTCTACAGGCAATTGAAAGCAGCCTCACGACTACATGCCTTGGTCCTTATGGGGGATTTTAACTACCCCGATATTTGCTGGAAGACTTACGCAGCCAGTCGTTCACAGTCTAGGAGGTTCCTCCAGTGCATTGATGATAACTTCTTAATGCAAATGGTGGACGAACCAACTAGGAGAGGAGCGCTGCTGGATCTGGTACTCACCAACAAGGAGGGTCTGGTTGAAGTAGTGACGGTCAATGGCAGCCTGGGCTGCAGTGACCATGAGATGGTGGAGTTTAGGATCTTGTGTGGGAGGAATAGAATACCTAGCAAGGCCACATTTCTGGATTTCCAAAGGGCAATCTTTGGCCTCTTCAATCAATTGCTAAGGGAAGTATGATGGCAAAGGGTACTAGGTGGTAAAGGGGCTCAAGATAGTTGGTCAGCATTCAAGAATCATTTCTTCAAAGCTCAGGATCAGAGTGTCCCAATGAGTAGGAAGTCAAGTAGGGGAGCCAGGAGACCAGCATGGTTAAACAAGGAACTGCTGGGCAAACTCGTACGGAAAAAGAGAATCTGTGGATTATGGAAGGAGGGGCTGGCTACTTGGGAGGAATATAGGACAGCTGTTAGAGGATGCAGGGAAGCAATTAGGACAGCTAAGGCCTCCTTGGAACTTAATCTGGCAAGTCGCGTCAAGGACAATAGAAAGGGCTTCTTCAAATACATAGCGAATAAAACTAACACAAGAAGCAGTATAGGCCCACTGCTGAATGAGGTGGGTGCCCTGGAGACAGAGGATATAAGGAAGGCAGAGGTGTTGAATGCCTTCTTTGCCTCTGTCTTTACTCCTGCAGACTCTCCCCGGGGGACCCAGATTCCTATAGCCCCGGAAGGAGTCAGGATAAAGGAGGAGTTTGCTTTGGTAGATGAGGATTGGGTTAGGGATCAGTTAAGTAATCTGGACATCTATAAATCGATGGGTCCGGATGGAATACACCCGCGGGTGCTGAGGGAGCTGGTGGAGGTCATTGCTGAGCCACTCTCCATCATCTTTGGTAAGTCGTGGGAAACAGGTGAGGTGCCTGAGGATTGGAGGATGGCAAATGTCACGCCGGTCTATAAGAAGGGCAAGAAGGAGGACCCGGGTAATTATAGACCGGTCAGCCTTACCTCCATCCCTGGAAAGGTGATGGAACAACTTATCCTTGACACCATCTCTAGGCATATTATCAAGGATGAGGGGGTCATTAAGAGCAGCCAACATGGCTTTACCAAGGGGAAGTCATGTTTGACCAACCGTATATGAGCAAGTAACTAGGTGGGCGGATGATGGTAGAGAAGTAGACGTGGTTTTTCTTGATTTCAGTAAGGCATTTGATACTGTCTCCCACAGCATCCTCATAGATAAGCTAAGGAAGTGTGGGCTTGATGATCAGGTAGTGAGGTGGATCAAGAACTGGTTGGAAGGAAGAAGGCAGAGAGTTATGGTCAATGGGGCAGAATCTAGCTGGAGGTCTGTGACTAATGGAGTCCCTCAGGGGTCGGTGCTGGGACCAGTGCTGTTTAATATTTTCATCAACGACCTGGATGAGGGAACTGAATGTACCCTCAGCAAGTTTGCTGATGATACTAAACTGGGAGGAGTGGCTGACACACCAGAGGGCTGTCTCGCCATTCAGCGAGACCTGGACAGGCTGGAGAGTTGGGCGGAGAGGAACTTGATGAAATTCAACAAGGGCAAGTGTAGAGTCTTGCATCTGGGGAAGAACAACCCCATGTACCAGTACAGGTTGGGGGCTGACCTGCTGGACAGTAGTGAAGGGGAAAGGGACCTGGGGGTCCTGGTGGATAGGAGGATGACTATGAGCCAACAATGTGCCCTTGTGGCCAAGAAGGCCAATGGCATCCTAGGGTGCATTAGAAAGGCTGTGGTTAGTAGGTCAAGAGAGGCACTCCTCCCCCTCTACTCTGCCTTGGTGAGGCCGCATGTGGAATATTGTGTCCAGTTCTGGGCCCCACAGTTCAAGAAGGACAGGGAATTGCTTGAAAGAGTCCAGCGCAGAGCTACAAAGATGATTAAGGGAATGGAACATCTCTCTTATGAGGAGAGGCTGAGGGAGCTGGGACTCCTTAGCTTGGAGGAGACTGAGGGGTGACCTCATCAGTGTTTGCAGATATGTAAAGGGTGAGTGTCAGGATGATGGAGCTAGGTTTTTTTCAGTGATGTCCAGTGGTGGGACAAGGGGCAATGGGTGTAAACTGGAGCATAGGAGGTTCCATGTGAACATCAGGAAAACTTTCTTTACTGTGAGAGTGACAGATCACTGGAACAGGTTGCACAGGGGGGTTGTGGGGTCTCCTACGCTGGAGATACTCAAGGCCCGCCTGGACAAGTTCCTGTGTGATGTACTCTAGGTTACCCTGCTCTTGTAGGAGGGTTGGACTAGATGATCTTTTGAGGTCCCTTCCAACCCTTAGGATTCTGTGATTCTGTGTCTGAATGAACAGGGAGTGAGAGATCTGCTTTCCAAGTCAAACTCTTCACAAAGCAGATAGTCTGAGACCCATAGAAAATATTTACCCCAGCAACACAGATCTCCTTTGCCTGCACGGTGGCACATCCATTGACTGGTTGTCTTCTATCCCTTCAGAAGAAGCAGGATTCCCCGTGGGTTTTTCACCCCGTGAAACAAGCACTGTCTCACATTCCATCCCTTTTCAGAGCAATGGTACCCCAATTTTGCCCAAAAGCGTTGAAAATTGCAGTCCTGTGACCAGGCTCAGCACTACACAAATGGAACAAAGCACCTGAGTGTCTGCCACCTCTAGAAAAACACACGAGTAGTTTTCTCTGAACTGGGCCGCACTACAACAAGCTCAGCTCGCACACCACGGAGATAACAGGCTCCAGCTGAAGCCAAGAGCTTCCCAGCTCATGCAGCAGCACTTCACTTACCTGCACAAGGAGGATTTAAATTCCTGAGTGGCCTAATCCCACTCCTGTCCTAAAACCACCCCAACCTTGTCATTAACATCACAGGAAACGTGAAAACACTGTGCACAAGCAGAGTGATTTGCCTGAAGTGACAGAGCAACCCAGGCTGACCCATTCCCTCACTAACAAACGGGAAGTAGAGCAGAACTCAGCTGAACAACACCAGAGCAATGAGGGCATTCAGTTACCCACAAACATAAGACAACCCAGACCCGTCATAAACGCTGAACTACAGTTGGCCTGTGCAACAACCCAGGTGGGCCTGCAGTGAAGTAGCGCATTTGACTGCACCAGTGGGTGCCTTTCCCCAGCAGTTATTCACTTCCACACACAGATTTTTGGGCTCTTCTCAGACAAAGCACTTGCATGCTCAGTTGCCTTCTTTTGGGGTTTGGAGGTGGAGAACTGAATGACAATTCAAATGCTGATCCCAAAAGCAACTGCAGAATAGATGTAAAACCTGTGCAGCCATAAGGGCACCAAGCAAGTTGTCCTGGGTTCAGCATTAGCAGTCATTTTTCTCCTTCTTTGTAGCTGGGAACTGATCTGATAACAATGATGTTTTGGTTTGGCCAAGGACTTTGTGAGCCTCATGCTCTGCCAGGGAGGAGGGGAAGCCGGGAGGAAGCAGAGGCACGACACCTGACCCAAACTGACCAAAGAGGTATTCCATACCACAGCACGTCATGCCCAGGATGTAACTGATGGTTACCCGGAGGGGCTAAGACTGCAGGGTTGGAGGAGGCATCGGTCGGTGCTTGGTTGGGCTGGGGGGGCGAGATGGCAGTCGGCTGGCAGTGAGGTGCTGTATTCTCTTCCCTTGTTCTTTCCTTTATCATTGTTATTATTGGTGGTGGCAGTGGTGGTTTGTGTTCTACCTTAGTTGCTAGACCATTCTTGTCTCAACCCGTGGGAGCTGCATTCTTTTCGATTCTCGTCTCCGTCCCTCCGGGAGTAGGGGGAGGGTGGGAAGGGAGGGAGGGAGTGAACGAGTTGCCTGACTGGGTTTAAACCACGACACAAGTATAGAAGAAGATCCAGGTATCCACGGCAAAACGGTTGCTAACGGCGGCCCGGCCGCAGACACGGTCTGTCCTCAGAGAACCTGTCCCACTGCTACTGCCTCGGGTGAGCACCAGGGGAGGACCAGATTGGATACTCCTTCCGCTAAAGGCGGCGCTGACCATTGTGTCCCCGCAGAGCCCCGCCACAGACCTGCCGGTACCCGCTGCCACTGGACCGGTGCCCTGGGATGATTTTCCTGCCGGTACTCTGGGACTATCAGGTGCCCAGGGGCTTGCCATGGGCCCGCCACCCAGACCCGCTCTGCAGCAAAACAGGAACCTATTCTCTCCTTCCCACTCTGCCTTGCCCAGTCGGCTCAGGGGAAAGGTTTCCTCCAGGTTGTATCAGGAGGGAAGAGTTTGCTTTGGCTGTGGGGACCTCAGAACAACTGGGTTCTGAGAGGTCCTGAGAGGAGAGGGAAGGAGGTAGCAAAGAATAGTGCCGGACTTGTGGTGAGCATTCAGCTTCTGCAGCAAAACAGTGCCTGGGATGCTGTGGGAAGCAGCTGTAAGAGCTGAAGGAGGGACAGGACGGGCTGCCTCGTATGTGAGCAGTGCTCTTGGCTGGAGCAGGGCAGCCAAAGCACCGCTGCACAGGGGGCACCCCGTGTCCAGCCTCGGGATTCTCCTCACCAAACACTCCCCAGTTTGCAACCATGGCCAGGTGGGTACGTGGAGCCAGGACGCAACCGCTGCCCAGCGGCTGCTGCGTGGCCTTCCATGCTGCTTGCGAAGGACACCATGGCCTTGGAATTGTGGTTGGAGCTTTAATCAAAAAGTCACATTTTCTTAAGCAGGGCTTAACTGCTGCCTGGCTTTTCAGAGTCAGGAGCACAACGCCTACAGGGTCCGCCTCCGTCTTTTCTGCATCCATATACAGGTCAGGATGTATATTGTCTGTTGTACCAGGGATGAGACCTGACATTCCTCTTCTCCTGTCAAAGGATGGAGTGCTGCAACAGACGGAAAAAGAGCAGAGCTGAAACCCACTGATCTGCAGAGACCCACAGGCATCTCTTTCAGACCATGCCAGCCCCAACCATCCCTTTCCCTGGTCAGGAGGCGCAGGCAGACAAATGGATCACCTGGAAGCTGCTGCTCAGGATTACAGCAAATGCCCCCAAGATGTTCCCTGGAGCAGGACAGCAGGACAGCACGCTGCCCAGGCTCTGTCCCCTGTCCCCGCCAGCCCCATCACACACAGCACTGCCCCTACTCACCCTTGAAGATCTCCTGCAGCGTGTCCTTGCTGCTGTCATTCAGGTACCGCGCAGCCAGTCCTGTGCAGAGAGCTCGGTCAGACCTGCTGCCGCCCAGCACACTCCTAGTATCGTGGCCCCGGCTCTGAAGGTTGGGCTGAACCCCTTCCCTCCCCTCAGCGGGGTGACCCCAGGGAAGGACAGGACCCGAGGGGAGGTGCCACTGAGCAAGGTGCCACTGAGCCCTGCTGCCAGGGCAGGGGTAGGAGGGGGAAGCACAGAGCCCCTGGCTGCACAGGCCCTGTACAGGGCAGCTGGGGCTCTGGCAGCCACAGGGCTGCTCCTCGCTGCCAGTGCAGCAGATGGGACTGGGGCCAGGCTGCCATAAGGGGGACTCCAGGGACTGCGGCTCACCGATGAACCTCACGGCTGCCATTCGCACGGTGACCTGAGCGTGCTGCAGATAAGGCATGCTTTGACGCACATATTCTTCAGCCCTGCTCCGGTCGTGCTCCAGCTGGAGAGAGCAAAAGGGCGCAGGGATGATACACACCCTCCCCAGTTACCTGGGACAGTCCCCCTTCCCAGCACCCCACACACCCCCCTTCATCCTCAGGACATTTGCATCTCCCAGCAAGGAGCCCTGTGGGGCTGAGGTTCAGAGACAGCTACATGCAAAGCAGGGTCTGGAGGTCCCGAGAGCCCTCTGTGCCGCTGCAAGGGCCCAGATGGGTCTCCTGCAACATCCTGAGGGTGGAGAGGTGAGCCCTTGGGAGCTCTGCCTGAGGGCAGGGAAGGAGGATGCAGCACCAGGCTGCAGGCTCTGGGCTGAAGCACTGCAGGCGAGGCACCACTGCACAGGGGGCACCCCATGTACAGCCTGGGACTTATCCTCACCAAGCGCTCCACAGTTCTCCATCTCTCCAGTGCCTGCACGTGGTGACTGAGCCATTTCCATTTGAGCACCTTTGCAGCTACACAGAAGGCTTCGTGAGAGGCCTGCAGAGGAGGACAACGATTGGGGAGATTGTGGACAGGGCTTGCGGCCCAAAGCCCTGGCCCCCAGCACCTGCAGGGACAGCTGGGTAGTCCCTGGGGACTCTGCTCTTCAGGCCTTGGTGGCCATGGGCTGCTGCTGAGCCCTGCTGGACCACATAGGGCAGGCGTGGCAAATGTCCCTGCCAGCTTCTCCTGCCCTCCCTGCTGCCCAGGCCACCCCCGCGGGCTCAGCATGCCCTTCCCCACACCACTGCTCAGGTTTGCAATCTGTACCTTGGCCACACTCTCAGTCTCATCACTCATGTGCAACACGAGTGGGACCAGGCTCCCCTGCACGTTCTTCCGCATCTGCCGCTGGTGCTTCCAATCCGCCATCTGTATTACTTCTTTGAATAGGCAGATGGAGAGCTCTCGCACCTGGCTGGACACCTGGTGAGGAGGAGGAGGACAGAAGGGCGTCAGTAGCAGCAGCTCCCTGAGCAAGGGCGTCAGCGTGGCTGAGGGGAGGGGTTTCAGGTCTCCCAGAGCCATCAGCAAGTCAGGGAGAAGCTGAGCTGGGCTGCAGAGCCCAGAAGGCATCCCCGTGAGAGCGCAGGGGCATGAGGAGGGGCACAGCCCCATGGAAGTGCTGCCACCAGGCTCTGCTAACAGGCACTTGTCCTTGCAAAGGGCCCATCAGTGAGGATCAGGCTTCCATAGCAGCCTTACATCATCAAACAGTTGCGGGAGATTCTCGGCCAGCTGCAGAGCAGTGGAGCTGTCCTTCTTCAAATGACCCATCACATTTCTGAAAATGAGCAGCATCTTCTTTCTGTTCTTACTGTGGGCTGTCTGCAGCATGTATATCAAATCTGGCAGCAGGACCAGTATTTTCTTTGCCTGTACAAAGCACAGAATTCCTTGTATGTCAAGTGGCGAAGGACCACCCAGGCCAAAATGTTCTGGCATTTAAGCACCAGACTCCTGCCTGACTGACTGGGCAGTGGCACAGGAATCCCTGCAGCAGCCTCCTGGCAGGCCATCCCCATGGTGCACTGAGGGGATCGGGGCCTGTGACTGGACGTTGAGGGCATTTGGTGCCGTGACCCCAGCTCCCGATTCCCAGCCCTGGTCAAGCCGCCGCGTTACCCACTGCCCAGCCCCAGGAGGCCAACACGGCTTCCCTTGCCTATGCCCTGCTCACCGTGTCAGGTGACTGTGACAACGTGATGAGGCCTGTGAGCGTCAGCGAGAACAGCACCACATTTTGACACCACGGGAACTTCTCCCTGTTGTACACCCCAGCGAATTCCTCTGGTGTCACATCGCTGCAGGCCAGGAGCTGAAACAAAGATGGCAGTGAGGGACCGGCCGAGCCTGCAGGGCTCCCGGCACTGTGCAGCTCCTGGGTCCCGCTGGCAGCTCAAGACAAGGGCACCGGGGACAGAGAGCCCGTGCTGGGGGACACCAGCCGCACACCACACGCTTGTCTGTGCCGGCTCTGCTGGTGTAAGCAGAGCACTGACAGGAACTTTGTGCACCCGCACCCAAGCAGCGTGGCATGGCCCTGTGTGGCTGGCACAGGGGAACCTGGCGCTGGGCTGGCCCTAACGGGCTGCATCCCTATTTCCCAGAGGAGGTGACTGTTTGGGGGCAGATGGCAGGGAAGAGGGCTGTGCCTGTGTTTCTGGAGAGGCAGGCACAGCCCTGAGTATGAGCAAGGACTGGTCTGGTTACTCACAGCCAAGAGCCGGATACAGAACTTCACTCTGCAGAATCCGTGTCTGATACGTAACTGCAGGTGCTGGAGGTTCCTTCTCAGCTCCCTCAAGACCTTCACCAAGATGAGGGGCTGGGACAGCAGCGCTTCCCACATGGCCTGAGCAACTTTGCTGAAAGAGAACACTGTCAGCAGGGCTGCCTTGGCCACCACACGGTGCCTGGGCCAGCCCTGCAGCAGCCAGGCTGTGCTGCAGCCCTGGCCCTTCCTGACCCCTCACTGGGAGTGCCCAGGTCCCAGATGGGGCAGGCAGGAGGGGGCTGAAACTGTTCCCTGTGGGGCAGGGAGGAAACTCGTGGCAGGCCTCGGGTCTGGCTTGGACAGCTTTGGCTACTGCAGGCCTGGCCAACCCAGCAGGGCAGGAGAGAGTGATGGGGTACAGGGCCCAGCTCCTCAGGGGTGTCCTGCAGTTTTCTGTGGGCCTCCACGTCCCTCTCCCCACATGGAACAAACCCACAAGGGCTGTGGGGGTCAGTACCTGTTACATGCTGGAGAGATATCTATAAGGCTCAAGATCATCTCCCTGGGCTTCTGCTGTGCCATGCTTAGAAACAGCGACTTCAGGCTGCACCGGGCTGATGCTGCGCTGATGTGCTGCAAGTTGTTATAGATGCAGCGCGTGATGATCCGCACCTGGAGAGCACACGGGTGAGGGTGGTGCTGCCACCAGACTGCAGCCATTTCCTCAGCTGCTGCTGAAACAGCTGCCCTTCCCATCCTACTCTACTGGCATGAAATGGCTTCAAGGTGCCTGAAGCACCTGGGTGAGGGGAGATGGGATGTAGGGAGGAACAGTGCCTGGAAGGACTGGAGGACAGGGCAGCCACAGGCTGCTTACCTCTGTCAGCCAGGAGGCAGGTTCTGTCATGGCCACGTTCAGGACGCTGATCAACTCTTCCTTGTCACATACGCATGAGTCTCTCATGGCCTGTATGGCCCTGAGGATGATGACTGTCTTATCAGCAGGGTGGAGGTATTCCTCAAATGCCTGCAGGAAGGAGGAAGGCGGGGAAGACGTGTTACACTGAGTGCCCTGATAGTGCTGCTCAGCTGGGCAGTGAGAGCAGCTCTGGCGAGAGGACCCACGGGAAAGCTGGCAGCAGGGGCTGCAGTCGTTGCGGAGTAGAGGATAAGAAGAGAGGTCCCTAGGTGAGAGAGGAGGGACCCTGGAGTGCAGCCCTCTGAAGTCCCTGCTCCAGAACAGCAGCAACCCTCTGACCAGGGACAGTGAGGTCATGCCAAGCCCGCTGGTTCTGGATCCCTTTGCTTGCACCAGTCTCGTTCTGATGCCCCAGACAAGAGGCCCAGCAAGGAAGAAGCTCATTACCTTTGCCATGCTAATCGTGCTGCACAGAGAAAGACAGGAGGGTTTCCCTGCTTCCCTCTTCCCTCCAGCCTGGGGATGCTCTGGATGATCATGACAATTGTCTGGTTGAGGTGACGTCATGCCTAAACATGAGGGGATCACGGAAGAGTCATTAGGACACAGCACTGATTACCATCAGTGACAGCTTTGGCTATGGGGACCATGGAACTGCTGGGTTCTGAGAGGCCCTGAGAAGAGTGGGAAGGAGAGCAGCAAAGAGCAGTGCCGGACTTGTGGTGAGCACTCGGCTTCTGCAGCAAAACAATAGCTGGGATGCTGCGGGAAGCAGCTGTGACGGGCAAAGGAGGTGAGGGAAGAGGGCAGGCTGCCCTGGACAGCCTCCAGCAAGCACAAAAAGAATCCACTACAATACTTGGGGAAACAAGCAGGACTATGAGGAGACGTCTGTGTGTGGAGGGATGAAGCCCACAGAGCTTCTCTTACATTTTTGGTGCTGGATGAATATGGAGAGGTGATGAAGAGCAACCAAAGCCTCCTGCTGGATCGCCCAGATCTTGCTAGTCCAGCAAACAATGAGACGTCCCAGCAGCTGTCCCAGCAAGCAGTCCTTGCTGATGTCATGGTGGGAAGAGCTGTGGTCGTGTCCAAGCAAGCTCCAGACCTGGGCAAGGGAGGCAGGACAGGTAGAAGGGCTGAGGGGCAGCAGCGCAACAAAAGCTCCGAACCTGAGACTGCCCCAGGGAAGGATCCTGGAGGGTCGGAGTTGTGCAGGGCCCTCCCAGAGCAGCGAGCTGGGCAGCCGGGCAGGGAGAGCTGCCAGGCCTGGCCTCCCGCCATGCTCCTTGGGCAGTGCTGACCTGCACAGGACTGGGGGCCAAGATGGCTGCTGGCAGAAAGGGCACTGGGGAGGAAAAAACATGGGAAAAAGAGAAGCCGAGACCCTTGCCCAGGGCAGAGCCGTGCTGAATGCCTCAGGCATTTGAGCCGCAGGCTGCTGCCCACGGTGGGCAGGGAATGGGAGACAGCCTGGCTGGAGGGTGCCTGCCTCCCTACCTGCACTGAGGAAGAGCTGGCCATCAAATCGGCCAGCTTTGCGATCCTTGCCACGGCCCGTTCACACACAGCTGGGTGCTTGATGTTGATGAAGGGCAGCAGCATCTGGAAGGAGAGAAAGTGCTGCTGTGCCCTGGGAGCTGGTGCCCGTGCCAGCAGCAGCAGCAGCAGCACTGCTCAAGTCCTGGCTGGACTCATGAAGTCCTTGTGGCCCTGAAGGGAGGCAGATGCCACCCCAGGGTAGAGTCTGCTTCTTTCTGTGCCCTCCCCGTGAGCACAGGCCTGTGTTCCCTCTCCGTGAAGGCTGGGCTTTTGGGCAGCACCCTCCCGGGGGGCGGTGATCCTGCAATGGGGGAATGGGCGTACGGCTCCCTGAGACGTCAGGAGCGCCGAACTTCAGAGCTGGGCTCCCTGTGCAGGACAGGCAGGTCCCAGTGGGTCTCTGCCCCGGTCAGACCTGGGCAGAAAAGCAGGAGGGACTGCGAGGCATGGGAAGAAGGGCAGCACCCGCAGCCACTGCTGCGGTGCCTGAGGAGAGGGGTCAGCGCCTGCAGAACACAAGCAGGATGGGACCTGGCGGCTGCCAGCACCCAGTGCCAGCAGACCCAGGCCCAGGCGGCAGGGCTGGCAGACACCCTCTGTCCCCAAGCCCAGCTCTGGCCCCCAGCGTGGCCCCGCTGCCAGGGCTGCTCAGCCCTGCAGCTCAGTGTCTGCCTGCGCACGCTGGTCCCTGCCCTCCCCCTGCACGGGCCCTGTGTGTCCTCACAGTGTGCCGGTGCCTGGCAACTTGCCCCCTTCCTCAGGCCGGCCGTGTGTCCCCTCACCTTGATGTTCTCCACCACCTGACACTGCACACAGAACTCCTTTAGTTCCTCTAAGCAGCCCTGGTCCCTGGGAGCTGTGCAGAGGCTGAAGACGGCCTGCAGGAATTTCACCTTCTGAGCCTCCTCCTGGGCAGCCGGGGGGCAGAGACACAAACAGGCAGCGTGAGAAGGGGGGCACGTGGCCAGCGGGACTGGAGCAGTGGGGCTGCAGTGCTGTGCAGGAGACCCGGGGGAGCAGCTCTGCCCAGCCAGCAGCCCCCAGCAGCCTGGCAGCAGAGCCAGTGGCCCCATCAGGAGACACGGGCACTGCTAGCCTGGAAACGGCTGCGGTTACCTTCTCTGAGCTCTGCAGGAAAGTCTGGATAAACCGCATGTGTGCAGCGCGTTCCTCTTCCATCCTTGCCGGACAAAAGGATAGGGGTGAGGAACGAGTAGGGTTGAAAGAAGTGTCTCGGCACTGCGGGGCTGCTGGGGCAGTGGGGAACAACGTGGGCTGCGCTCAGGGGTCTGCGCCAGTCTCTCGCTCCCGCTCTGTCCCGTCACCGTCCTGCCGGACACTGGCACGAAGGATGTGGCCTGCTGACTTTTATACAGTGCCCTGGGGTGTGACCAAGGGCACATCACAAAGGCACGTCACAAAGGGCACCGTGGTGGGTCACGGAGGGCACATCACTAAGGGCACTACAGTGGGTCACGGAGGGCGCGTCACTAAGGGCCTGTCACAAAGGGCACCACGGCAACCTGCCATTCAGAACATGAGAGGCAGGGCGATGCTGGGAGGGGAAAGAGGCCTGTTTCCCCCTGGTCATTTGCGTCCCCTTGGGGTGCCCTGAGCTCCACGTTTTGCTCATGTTAGATGGAGTCTTCTTATGGCAAGATACCCAGCACGTGTCCTAATGTTCAGAGCCAGACTAGTCAAGAGGACTCAAAAAGCCATGAGTAGAACCGTACGCGCACTGGAGACGGCATTAGATGACCGATGTTTTCTTGTCCAAGTCCTGCGTTTAAGAAGTTTAGGGGGTCAGGGATGGCGGGACGCAGAGAGGAACAGCACCTGGGCAGGCTCAAGGGCAGGGCAGCCACAGGTCGCTGAACTGGCGGGGCAATGTTCTAGTATGAATGAAGACCAGAAGGCCTCCCACCTTCCAAAGGTGCCACTAGCATGCTCAGCTCGCCCCTGAAATGCCTGTACGCCAATGCACGCAGCATGGGGAATAAACAGGAGGAGTTAGAAGTCTGTGTGCGGTCTAAAGGTTATGACCTGGTGGCAATTACAGAGACATGGTGGGACAGCTCGCATGACTGGAATGTGGTTATGGATGGCTATGTCCTTTTTAGGAAAGATAGATCAGCAAAGCGAGATGGTGGAGTTGCTCTTTATGTGAAAGAGTTCTGTCCAGGGGCAGATGAGGACCAGGTGGAAAGTCTGTGGGTGCGAATTAAGGGACAGGCTGGTACGGGGGGCACAGTTGTGGGGGTCTATTACAGACCTCCTGATCAGGACGAAGGAGTTGACGAGGCTTTCTACAGGCAATTGAAAGCAGCCTCACGACTACATGCCTTGGTCCTTATGGGGGATTTTAACTACCCCGATATTTGCTGGAAGACTTACGCAGCCAGTCGTTCACAGTCTAGGAGGTTCCTCCAGTGCATTGATGATAACTTCTTAATGCAAATGGTGGACGAACCAACTAGGAGAGGAGCGCTGCTGGATCTGGTACTCACCAACAAGGACGGTCTGGTTGAAGTAGTGACGGTCAATGGCAGCCTGGGCTGCAGTGACCATGAGATGGTGGAGTTTAGGATCTTGTGTGGGAGGAATAGAATACCTAGCAAGGCCACATTTCTGGATTTCCAAAGGGCAATCTTTGGCCTCTTCAATCAATTGCTAAGGGAAGTATGATGGCAAAGGGTACTAGGTGGTAAAGGGGCTCAAGATAGTTGGTCAGCATTCAAGAATCATTTCTTCAAAGCTCAGGATCAGAGTGTCCCAATGAGTAGGAAGTCAAGTAGGGGAGCCAGGAGACCAGCATGGTTAAACAAGGAACTGCTGGGCAAACTCGTACGGAAAAAGAGAATCTGTGGATTATGGAAGGAGGGGCTGGCTACTTGGGAGGAATATAGGACAGCTGTTAGAGGATGCAGGGAAGCAATTAGGACAGCTAAGGCCTCCTTGGAACTTAATCTGGCAAGTCGCGTCAAGGACAATAGAAAGGGCTTCTTCAAATACATAGCGAATAAAACTAACACAAGAAGCAGTATAGGCCCACTGCTGAATGAGGTGGGTGCCCTGGAGACAGAGGATATAAGGAAGGCAGAGGTGTTGAATGCCTTCTTTGCCTCTGTCTTTACTCCTGCAGACTCTCCCCGGGGGACCCAGATTCCTATAGCCCCGGAAGGAGTCAGGATAAAGGAGGAGTTTGCTTTGGTAGATGAGGATTGGGTTAGGGATCAGTTAAGTAATCTGGACATCTATAAATCGATGGGTCCGGATGGAATACACCCGCGGGTGCTGAGGGAGCTGGTGGAGGTCATTGCTGAGCCACTCTCCATCATCTTTGGTAAGTCGTGGGAAACAGGTGAGGTGCCTGAGGATTGGAGGATGGCAAATGTCACGCCGGTCTATAAGAAGGGCAAGAAGGAGGACCCGGGTAATTATAGACCGATCAGCCTTACCTCCATCCCTGGAAAGGTGAGGGAACAACTTATCCTTGACACCATCTCTAGGCATATTATCAAGGATGAGGGGGTCATTAAGAGCAGCCAACATGGCTTTATGTCCTGGGTTCAGCAGTAGCAGTCATGTTTTTTCCTTTGTGTTAACTGGTGCAGTGCTGTGTTTTGACTTCTAGTTTGAGAGCAGCGTTGGTGAAGCCGATGTTTTCGGTTGTTGCTAAGTGATGTTTACCCTGACCAAGGACTCTGTGAGGCTCATGCTCTGCCAGGGAGGAGGGGAAGCTGTGAGGAGGCAGAGACGGGGCGCCTGACCCGGGCTAGCCGGGGAGGTATTCCATACCACAGCACGTCATGCCCAGGGTGGGGGGTAACTGGGAGTTACCCGGAAGGACACGGGCTTCCGGGTGGAACTCGTTTTCTTGGCCGGTGGTATCGTATTCTCTTCCCTTGTTATTTTCCCTTATCATTGTTTTAGCTGATAGTAGCGGTGGTGATTTGTTGCTGGACTGTTCTTGTCTCAACCCGTAGGAGTTGCACTCTCTCGATCCTCCTCCCCGTTCCTCCGGGAGCGGGGAAGGGGAGACCCCCGGTGCAGGGGGGGGGGGGGGGGGGGAGACGGACACGGACCTTGATTGTTGTCAGCTCGGCACCACTCACTGGGAGTGAGTGAACAAGTTACCTGACTGGGTTTAAACCACGACAGTTCTTTTTGGCGCCCAACGTGGGGCACGAGGGGTTGAGATAAGAACAGATCTGACTGGATTGATAGTCACTCGTCACAATGCTGATTTATTGGCTCTCAAGGTTTTTCCTCTTGATCTCACAGTTTCAGTATACCATATCTTACGTCCATCCGGTATTGGCTGTATTAGTGTTTTTCAAGTGTGGGGCTTGGGCTAAGGTTTTTATCCCATTGTACTTTATGGTAATGACTTGTAATACAATAGAATCATTGATCATGAAACTGATCCGGTTTATGTTCCCAGTGTGGTCACCACCTTTATACTTTGGGAGGTATATGATGGAGGTGCTTAGCAATTACACATCTTTTTTCTCCTTCTCAGGTGCTCAACCTGTGAAGGAGACATCCTTTTACCCTCCTAGTCGTCCCCCCAGACCATTTACATTTGAGAGTTTTGAATTTTTTAAATGGCCTTTTAATGCTGTTGAGACTTGTTTACTGATGGTGATGGGAATCACCATGCTAACACGCATACAGAGTGTGTTTTGCCCACTACTGATTTCAAGAGTTAAGCAGATTCAGGTTTGGGTCTTGTCTGGGGTCAAAAGACGATGTAGGAGGACCGAGAGATTTTCCCAGAGGCTGGACAGCCATGAGTGGCAGGGTGTGTGGGATAGTATGGGCAAGTATCTAGGTCAGTGGGCCCCTCCAGTATTTTGGA